CAGGACGCGTACACACCATTGCATACATCAAGCTCCCAACTGCATTAGCATATGGAACTTTTGCCATATACACTCGTTCTTCGTTAGTTTTAGGAGATAATTGAGAACTAAGTTTCAAATGAGAAGCCAATGGGATACTTACATGTTTGGTATTTTCATTCATGCCAAAACATTGTAATACCTTTCTCAGATACTGCTTCTGTGTTAAACAAAGCTCCCCTCTCTGTCTATCTTTGTTTATCTCCATACCAAGAATCTTCTTGGCCTCACCTAGATCTTTCATCTCAAACTCTTGATTCAACTGAGCCTTTAATTTGTCTATCTCCTTTTGACTCTTCGAAGCGATCAACATATCGTCAACGTACAAGAGAAGATAAATGAAAGATCCATCTTTGAGCTTTTGCAAATACACACAATGATCATATTTGCTTCTAGTATACTTTTGCCTCCTCATAAAGCTATCAAATCGCTTGTACCACTGCCTCGGAGATTGCTTCAATCCATATAGCGATTTGTTCAGCTTACAAACCCATTTCTCACAACCACCATCTTTGTATCCTTCTGGCTGAGTCATATAGATCTCCTCTTCTAAATCACCGTGCAAGAAAGTCGTCTTTACATCAAGTTGAGCTAGCTCCAAATTCAACTGTGCTACCAAGGCCAACAATATTCTAATGGAGGAATGCTTCACAACAGGGGAAAATACTTCTTTGTAGTCAATTCCCTCCTTTTGAGCGTAGCCTTTAGCTACCAACCGTGCCTTGTAGCGAACATCTTTCTTTCTATGAGATTCATCTTTCTTTACAAATACCCACTTGCATCCAATGGCTCTTTTACCTTTCGGTAATTGTGCCAGTTTCCAAGTGTTGTTCTTTTGGAGAGATTGCATTTCTTCATCCATGGCACTTTTCCACTTATCACTTTCCAAGCTTTGTATTGCTTCTTGGTAAGTGATAGGGATATCATCATCAACAACTGGAAGAGCATAGGCCACCATATCAACAAATCGAGTAGGTCTACGAATTTCTCTCCTTGGCCTTATAACTGCAAGTGGTTCTGGTGTCTCCAATGGTTCTTGGGTTTGAACCTCTTCATCTTCTGATTCTTCTATTGGAGTTGAAGAATCAGCTGCATCAACTTCTGGGATCATCGTCTGCTGAAACTCCACATATTTTGGAGTATGCTCCACCTGCTGTGGAGTACTACTTGTTTGGACAGCTTCACTTGTTACCTTCTTTACTAGGGCAGATTCATCAAAGGTAACATCTCTGCTACAAATTATCTTCTTGGTGTCTAAACACCAAAGGCAGAATCCCTTCACTCCATGGGTGATTCCCATAAAGAGAGCCTTCTTTGCTCTCGGATCAAGCTTGGATTCCTTCACATGATAATAAGCAGTGGATCCAAATACATGTAAGAAATCATAATCAGTAGCAGGTTTTCCAGACCATACCTCCAATGGTGTTTTTCCTCCTATCGCTGATGACGACATATGATTAATTAGATGGCCAGCATATGTCACAACCTCAGCCCAAAATGCCTTGCCTAACCCAGCATTAGACAACATAAATCGAACTTTCTCCAATAGTGTTCGATTCATACGCTCTGCCACCCCATTCTGTTGTGGTGTATGTCTAACAGTGAAGTGTCGAACAATACCATACTCATGGCAAACGTCAAAGAATGGGTCACTTTTATATTCCCCTCAATTGTCTGTCCTAAGACGTTTGATCTTTCTACCAGTCTGGTTATCGATCATATTTTTCCATTTCAGGAAAATTTAAAGCACTTCATCTTTAGACTTCATCGGATACACCCAAACTCTTCTGGAAAAGTCATCTACAAAAGTTACAAAATAATGGTTTCCTCCCAAAGACGATGTCTTTGAAGGACCCCATACATCTGAGTGAATATAATCTACAATACCTTTTGTATTATGTATAGTGGTGCCAAACTTCACTCTCTTCTACTTTCCCAGAACACAATGCTCGCAAAAGTTCAATTTGCAAGCCTTTGCACCTTTCAACAATCATTTCTTTGCCAGAATTTGCAAGGATTTCTCTCCAGCATGTCCCAACCGCATATGCCACAACTGGGTTGCGTCCAAATCATCACCTCCGGAAGCTGCTGCAACTGCTCCAATAATTGTACTACCTTGGTAGTAATACAAATTATTTTTCCTGATGCCCTTCATCATCACAAGTGCGCCATATGTGACTTTTAAAACTCCATCTCTCATAGTGACTACTGAGCCTTTGGATTCTAAGGCTCCCAATGAGATGAGATTTTTCTTCAAACTGGGCACGTATCGAACATCCGTCAGAACTCTGGTTGATCCATCTTGATTCTTCAATCGAATTGAACCTATCCCAACAGTTTTACAGGCATTGTCATTGCCTATATAAACAACTCTTGCATTTAGTTCCACTAAATCGGAGAACCACTCCCGATTAGGGGACATATGATAGGTGCAACCCGAATCTAATATCCACTCATCGGAATGGAATGTTGTTGATGAAGCAACCAATGATATGTCAGAGTCATGTGCATCATGCTCTGCAACACATGCATCTGGAGCAGCTTTTCCTTTCTTCTTCAGCTTCGGAAAATCATTCTTCCAATGGCCTTTCTCATGACAAAAGGCACATTCATATTTTCCCAGTCTGGACTTCGACTTTGATCTCCCTCTCCACTTTGGCTTTTGACTTTTCGAGCGACCTCTTGCCACCATGGCCTCTGCTGCTTCGTACATGCTCTCCTTCTTGGTTTTCTTCCTGAGTTCATAACTATACAAAGCAGCAGTTACATCTTTAAGGGTAACATTATCCTTACCATGAAGTAACGTTGTCTCAAGGTGCTCAAATTCATCTGGAAGAGATGACAACAACATCAAAGCCAAATCTTCATCTTTGAAGGTTTCATCCATGCCCAATAAGTCTTCCACTAGCTCATTGAACGCAGTGATGTGTTCATTCATACTGGTGACTGGTTGATAATCAAATCTGAACAATCTTTTCTTCATGTGGAGACGATTCTGAGAGCTTTTCTTCAGGAATTTTTCCTCCAAAGCTTTCCACATCTTACTTGCAGAAGTCTCGTTCTTATAGCCATACTTCTGCTCCCTGGAAAGACAAGATCGAATCGTGCTGCACGCCAAACGATTGATTGTTCCCCATTCTTTCTCCTCCATATATTCAGGCTTTTCTTCCTCAATGGCGATATCTAGACCTTGTTGGAATAAAGCGTCTAACACCTCGCCTTGCCACATGCCAAAATGACCGGATCCATCGAACAACTCCACCGAGAAATTTGAATTTGAAATCACCCTCCTCACCGATCCAGATAAAGAGCTTGATGTCTCAACTGATCCGTATTTTGGCATTTTAATTCTAACGAACAATATTCAATATCACGAACTGTATCTTTTCAGCAACGGAACCACCATGATAACCTCAACCGAAGCTCTGATACCAATTATTGGGGAAAACGAGTTATTTCCCACACGAACGTAGTTTTAAAATTGACCTAAAATGTCAATATTAAAACCACCAAAGGTTGCACAACGGATAAACCTGTCAAACTATTGAATATTGAAACACAATGAAAAATAACCGAATAAAAAACAATAAAGGAGAAAACACACCAAATTTACGAGGTTCGATGAGAATATCGTCTACTCCTCGGGCACCACACCGGATGATAACTTCACTATATCGTCAATATTACAACAAATGGAATTCTTTGGAATTCCCAAAGTGGGAGAATGAAGAATATAAGAGGAAGAGAGAACTTGTTTTTGGGATGATTTCTAATGGAAATACTTAGGCCTATTTATAGTTGAGTTTCAAGAACAATATGTTCAAAGTTTGGCCACCTACCAAAGAATTTTCCAATGTGTACAAGTTAGCCACCAAATATGAAATTCACATGTTCAAAGTTTGGCCACCAACAAAGATGAAATTTCCAATAAGTTGGCCATCAACCAAGATGAAATTTTCAACTTGTCAACTTAATTTCTAGACAAATCTAACATAATATGCTTATAATATAAGTTAAGAATACACCAGATATCTCCATAAGTATGATTATTTAACTCCGAAATCATTAATTTGGAGTTAAAATTGATTTATTGTAATAAATTATGTAAAATACCAGGTGAATTAAAAAATATTAAATGTTAATCCGAGTTTTATCTAATTTAGATTAATTAAAAAAACATAAAACTTAATTTGACTGAAAGTGGGAAATTTAAATTAATTTACATTTTTTTATAATTTTTCATTTCATTTAACTTTAATTCCCTCCTAATCACTGGTTATGATTCAATGCTTTAATCAAACCAAAAATTGAAACCATTAGTTGGATGAGCCTTTTTGTCTTAATTATCGTGATTCGTGTTTTGCTAATCCACTTGATAGTGAAAGGGACAACGAGTAAGGTTGCTTCTCATTCTCTCTGCGCTCCTAACCATGCGAAGGCCATGCCATGTTCAAATGCAAGTGGCATCATGTGATAAGCCTAATTAAAGTGGCATTATGATTTAATCCAAATACGATTAATAGTTAAAATCAGATATGTTGATGAGTAAGTAGCTCCACGTGTGAGTGCCTTCTAGATAATAACGGATTTACAAATATTTTTTGAAAATAAGTATATAATAAACATAAATAGAATAAATATTTTAAATAAAATAAATAATTAATAAAAAATTCAGATTTTAAATTACATATATGTCCATTATCTAGAGCTACTCGATCATGATTGGTTGTAGCAACGCTAAATTCGATTGTTTGAAATGTAAGTATGTAACTTTGGATTTTTGTATAACGAAAAGATGAGTTAAAACACGTAGTTATCGCTTAACTAAACACTTACAGGACATATCTCGGGTGGTAAGGAACACAAACTTTCAAGCATAAGGAGCCAAGTCTATTAAGGTGTTCGAGTAATTAAAATAACTACAATGAGAATTACACTATCAACGATCTATTATTGGCCTAGTCATTTCTCTACTGCTGCTGCTGCTGCTGCTGCATGAGAAAATGAATGTCGATCAAAACAAACACGGTCGATCTTCCAGGAACAGTTGAATTCAGTATGCATTGAAGATGGGGGGATGATTCGAATTGAGGATACCTCTGTTAGCTTGGCTGAATTCGGTAGAAAACGGTGGATGATGATTGAGGCACCGTCGCAGATCATTTTCAGGGAGCCATAACTGCACAACGACCGATCCCAGAACTACAGTCCATTCCAGCATTTTTCATGTTCTTTGTCACCAGCTCACTGTTACTTCTCCTACCTCCCACTTTTGGCCTGCCACCAGACTTATGATCTTTAACGACCTTACTGCTTTCTGACATTCGATGTTTTTGCAAATTACTGTTTTCTTTCTTTCGTTCTTTCTTCCAAAGGATCGTATTTTGGGTCACAGGTTCAGGGGAGCTGTGACTAACAGTTGGTGGAGTCGGTGATACGATGCCAGCTCGAGATGGCTCAACTGGAGGACAAATCAACTCACCTATAGATCCAGCAGAAGAGAGGGCTTGTTTATTTGCTTCCCTAGAGCGTGATGGTGATATTGGGATTGCTCTTATCCCAGAATTTGGTGACTTCTTTCCTACTTTAGCTGATTTCATGGTAGATGTTGCAGCCTGAGACATAAAATTGAAGCAAGTCGGTGTTAAATCTATGGACAAAACATAAACTTTCCATAGCACAAAAATATCTGGGACGATAAGGATTTCATTAAGTTAATACCTTATTATTAAGGATAACAGTAATAAAATATACGCTGTTAAGTTTTGAGGTTCCTCTAATTTTGATGGGGTTTAAGAAAACATATTTGCTATCAGTATATGGAATAATAATCCAAGCTAGAGATACGACTCATAAATGTATGCTTTTCTATGATGTAAACTAATCACATCTGAATACATATGACTATACGAGTTACATTATAAAATCAAGAATTAGCAGAGTCTAAATTACCTTGTTTCTGGTAAATCTTGATGTAGTGGGAACATGATAGAAAGAAGGCATCGGTTTTGCTTTGAAAGTAAGGCTTTTCCGCAATTGCTTAATCTCGGCCTCTGTCTTTTCCTGCAATAACAATGAACAAAGCATGCAATTTATCTATAAATGAAGAAACTCATTAATCCAGAAATATCAGAGTGGTCCATCATTCAAATAATCTGAAGGAAGCACGAGGTGAAAAACCGATTTATCTTCTTAAAATAGTAAAAATTCTAAATTTTGTACGCTTTCCCTACCTGTGTTCTTGCTTGAATCTGATTCATCTCTGCCTCTTTGGCTTGCATTTTTCTTTTCTACTTTCGTATAGAACTGAAACCATTGCATGACAAAAAGAACAGAGGAAGAGATTATAAGTACAAACCATTAACTAAAGAATTAAAAATAGATTGAGAATAACAACATGATTTCCTTGCCTCTCTTCTCTTTTCTGCTCGTTCTCCACTTTTGAAGTGGAATCCTCGGGCAGTTGACTTTGCATCTTCCCAAGTTGAAACGGCCGTCTGCTTAATCCTACATAAAAGAATTCTCCACATTAAAGTTTAAAATCCAAAATTTGATGGCACAAAGCAATTGCCATGATGTTGCTACACACCTGTTCGGTGTCTGACGAACTACAGGTGCAATCTTCTTGTATGAAAAAGGTTGAGCTTCAATTTCTTTCTTAGTCATCGGTCCATTTCCACTATCATCAAATGAAATAGTCATTTAAAATTTCCTTTAAAATGAAACATATATATTCTTAAAATGCAAGAAATACTAACTATTAAGTACCTTTTATTCTCAGCGTTTGATTTTGCGTTGAATCTTGCTCTTGCAGAATCCTGGACAAGAAAGACCAAAGAAAATGAAATTCAAATAGCAGCATGAAGTCTGACTAAAAAATTCTAAATACGAATAAAATAAAACAGATGTTGCTGTTCTCAATGTTACATTCTTATCTTTTAAGCTTCAAGTCAAAGTCCAAATTTTCACCTCTTGCTTTGGAGATTTGTGCACTGAACGTCGAGTTGGAAAGGCAGTTTGTAATGGTAGTTTCTGTGGTTTTGTTCTCTTTGTAATCTCTTTTTCTTTTCTTTCTTGCACCATTGCAGCTACCATAGAAGGATCACAAAAAGTGTTTTTCTGGGAATGATCACGATTCACAGGAGACTTCAACCTCGGTTTGATAGTTCTATTTTCAGTAGCAGACTTCAACTAGAACAAAAAAAAAAAAAAAAGAGTACAGGAGGTAAATATAAGGGCGAATTTGAGTATGCTTAATGATATAGAGAAAGAAGTAATAGAAGGAAATGCAGCCATCACGATTGAAAACAAATTGAAAAGTCAAGGTTCTATCTATTGCATGACTGTTGCCTTTCTCAATTATGGTTTTGGTAATTTAATAAGTTAGTAATTTTTTTTTCCAGCAAGAGGAATATACATATAAGCAATACCTTTGAAGAATGATTTTGCTGAATTTCAGTATTGGGGGATTGATCCAAGGACTCAAATGTTTCGTCAATGTTGTCTGCATCATCATCATCAAGGTTTTCTTCTACTTCTTTCTCTGGATTATCACTGCTTATAAATGATTTAGCGCATCCACTTTGACTTTCAGAAGTTTCCTCAGGTTCAAAATCGATAGGGACCGAAATATGAGTCTGATGAGCTGATAAAAGTCCAGGACATTCTATTACAGATTCAGTCAATGCACCCTCACCAAGATATTCTGAATCGTCTGGACTCATGTACAATAGAGCACAGAGGCTACTTTCATTTGAATGATCAAAATGGTTCCCTTCGTTTTCATGATAAAATAAGCTCCCTTCATTTCCACAATAAAGATTTTCCCCATAATCCATACTGCTTAATCCATTCTCATCAAAATGATTGTAATGGCTACCTTTATTTACACAATCAGTATCATTTTCCCCAGTTTGATATTCACCATAATCCTCATTCTCCATAACATCACTCTTGCAGTTTTGATATTCTCCTCCATTTTGGCCCTCAGATGATGAACTTTGAAGAAGTGCCCTCTTCCTGAAGTGAGCTTCAAAATAAGCTTTCTTCTCAATAATTGAACCTGGTTTTGAGCATTTCTCAACCTCTTCAAGATATCTATTGTGTGAGAAAGAGGATTTCCTTTCCCAAGCTAGGGGTTCATTTGCAAATCTACCAAATGATATAGAACCACAATGCATAGATTCTGCCTATCCAGTTCAAAAAGGATGAAGTTAAATACATTAAATAGGTGAAAATTACATGCTGAAGTATAAAATAAATTGTATTTTCTGAGCCAATTCACTGATAGGAAACTCACGAAAGAGTTTAGCACAATCGAATTCCATCAGGGCTTGAAATGCAAGTGAGACTTGGGAGGCAATTGATATACTATAAGCTACTTCAGGTAATGTTATAGCTCAAGTAGAAAAGAGAATTATCGAGAAGAAAGGTTTCAGAAGAGAATAAAGGGATTCAGAGAAATTGAGATTTCATTCATTCATTTCATGCCTCTCTTTTCTTAGTACAGTGTATTATTCATTCACAATGTACCAAACAAGGAATGACAGCTGGCAGTCCTTTCTAACGGTTGCAATCTTTGGTGCAGTTATCAAGGAATTTTCCACTCTGTTGGGCTACTGCTTGTATCGACCCAAAACTTATCTCATCTGTCTCCATTTCATCAGCAGGTAAAATCTCATCTTTTCCAATCCCTAATTCATTCCCCGAATTTCCCAATTCATTCTCTTCGTGATTTTCTCCTTCTTCTCGCCCAACCATAACAATACCCCATTCATGAGACGATCCTTGTCCCCAAGGATCAAACTGAGGAAATTAGCTTCGGAGGATCATGTAATCTTCCCAAGTGTCGTGGCTAGAATCGAGGGCTTGTAACCATACAAAGCCTCAAAAAGGTTTAATTTTAAAGCCGTGTGGTATGTGGTATTGTACCACCATTCGGCATGGAATAGACATTCAGCCCAGTGAGTTGGTTTAAGAAAACAGAGGCCTCGAAGAAATTGTTCTAAGCATTGGTTAACCTGTTTGGTTTGTCCGTCGGTCTTGGGATGGTAGGTCGTACTGTAGAACGTAGAGGTACCCAACTGCTTCATCAAGTCATGCCAAAATAAACTGGTGAATGTCTTATCCCGGTTTGAGATGGCCATATTCTGTTGGCCATATAATTTTTAGACGTAATCTAAGTATAAACGAGCCACTTCCATAGCTGTATAGGAATGAGACAAGGGTAAAAAATGGGTGTATTTTGTGTACTTGTCAACCATGACCAAGATGCAAGTTTTCTGATTGGACTTCGGTAACCCATCTGTAAAGTCCATTGTGATGATCTCCCAAGCCTGATTAGGAACTGGTAGGGGCTGCAGTAGACCGATTTTAGGAATGTGCTCGACCTTTATACGTTGGCAAGTATCACATTTTCGAACGTAGACAACAACCATTTTTTTAAGGCCAGACCAGTAGAAGTGAGCTTTAATTCTTTGATACGTCGCTTGAACCCCTGAATGACCTCCTTGGGGAGAGTCATGTAAGTTGCTTAGAATTTGTAAGCGTAGGTCACCTTTGGAGCCAACATACACTCGACTTTGGTAACGTAGAATTCCCCCTGAATACTTCCAGTTATTGTGACTATGTGGATGCACGGATAAGACACATATCCATTCCTTTGCTAATAAATCATCTTCATAAGTACCTTTAATTTCGTTGACCCAACTAGGAACAATAGAAACTGCCCTTATATAATTGTGCTCAACAAAATCCTCAAATTGTCTTGAAAACGCATCGGCCACTGTGTTATTCTTCCCTTTTCTGTATTGAATAATATAATCTAGCCCAAGTAATTTAGTCAAACCCATTTTTTGGATCGTAGTCATCAAGTTTTGCTCCAACAAATATTTTAGTGGCTCGTGATATGGTTTTATGACAAATTGATTTCCTTCCAAGTAGTCCCTCCATTTCGAAACCACCATTAAAATAGCAATGTATTCTTTCTCATAAATTGAAAGATCCATATGTTTCGGACCAAGAGCTTTGTTTAGGTAAGCAATTGGTCGACCTTCCTGTGACAATACAACTCTCACTCCTCTCGAACTTGCATCTGTTTCCAAACAGAATTATTTGGAGAAATCGGGTAAATTTAAAACTGGCGCTGAACACATGGCTGTTGTAAGTGATTCGAAAGCTTGCTTAGCCTTAGGGGACCAAGAAAAGTTATCTTTCTTCAACATATGAGTGAGGGGCCTTCTGATTTCACCATAACCACGAATAAACCTTCTATAATAGCCAGTAAGACCCAAAAAACCACGAAGGGATTTCAAACTCTTAGGTAGTGGCCAATACTTATCGCTTCGATCTTCGATGAATATGTAGAGACACCTACAGTAAAAATGATATGCCCGAGATACTCAATTTGTTGTTGCCCAAAAAAACACTTTGATCTCTTAGCATAGAGCTTATTGTCTTGTAGAATTAGGAAAACAATCTTCAAGTGCTGGATATGGTCTTGTAAAGTATCATTATACACTAGGATGTCATCAAAAAATACTAGAACAAACTTACAAAGGTAAGGGTTAAAGAGATCGTTCAAAAGTGACTGAAATGTGGTAGGAGCATTGGTAAGTCCGAAAGGCATTACCTTAAACTTGAAGTGGCCGTGATGAGTCTGAAACGTTGTCTTGTGGATGTCTTGTGGTTGGATACAGATTTTCCAATAGCCCGAGCGTAAATCTATTTTGAAAAAAAAAATTGCCCTATGTAACTCATCAAAGATATTGTCAAACTCTTGTAATAAAGGCTCTAAATCACTGGGAACTGTTGAGGCAACACGGTCCACATCGAGTACATATAATTCGTCCATTAAAGAAGAATCCTTTGCTGTCATTTTTTGCATTCTGTTTCCTGTTATCGATTTCCAATTACCCATCGTAGTCTGACCTTGTATAATCATCAGTTTGCCATCTTTTTGAAAGCTCAAAGTCATGTCTTTACAGACCATAAGAACTGAACTAAATTGCTTCATCCAATCGACACCAAGCACCATATCACTCCCACCAAGTTGAAGGATTCGAAAGTTGTGATTAAAATGGAATCTTTTCATTGTCCAAGATACTTGATTCGATTTAGCTGAACTGAAGACTTTCTCTCCATTAGCAACTATTATTGCTAAAGGTTGAGTGGAAACCATTTCGAGACCCTTTTTAGCGTACTTTGGTGTGAGAAAATTATGTGTACTTCCGCTATCAATCAAAACACTAAGTGGGCTACCTTTAATTAAACCTCGAATTCTCAATGTTGTGTGTCCCACATTTCCCGTCAAATCACTGACTGAAATTTCTAAAAGCTCCTATATAGGTGCATGGTGATCCTCCCCCGATTCCTGTGTGATGTCTCCCACTTCGACATTGTCTTCCTCCTCCATAAGATTCAATTGCCGATTCTTGCACTGATGGCCGGGTACATACTTCTCACCGCATTTAAAGCAGAGGTTATTCGCCCTCCGGTATTCCAAAATATTCATGTGTGATATGTTTCGAAAATTACTTCGTTGCCTCATATTCTCAAATTCAAGGAATAGTTCTTACAACTTAGCTTGTATACAAGCTTTAGACACCGTTCTAGGGTCGAGAGCCTTTACTCGATGTTTAAGCTCCTCCTTTAAGCCACTAACAAAAATTGACACGAATACTTCCTCTCGCAATGTAGGACTTTGAATCAGAATATATTGTTGAAACATTTTGATATTTCGATATAACAAATTAAGTTAAATGGATTTTAAGATTTTCCAAATGATTTTCTAAGTATATTCGATATAACTATTCGAATATCAAAACATTACTCCAAATATTTCAAAAATCATTTTTAATCCTTACTTAAGTGTAAAATTAAGTTTTAATCATAAAACAATTTCAAAATAATTTTACAAAGTATTTCGAACCAATTCAAAGCCAAAAATTCCAGATTGCTCATAGGGAACCGATTCCCCCCATAGGAGGAACCGATTCCCCCCTGAATGGTTTGGCTCCGAGATTTCCAGAATGCTCGGAGGGAACCGATTCCCCCATAGGAGGAACCGATTCCCCCCTAAACAGTTTTGTTCCGAGAATTCCAGTATGCTCGGAGGGAACCGATCCCCCCCAAGGGGGTACCGATTCCCCCCTTGTACAACGGTCGAAATATTTGAATTTTACACTTAGGAACCGATTCCCTTCAAGGGGGAACCGATTCCCCCCACGCTCCAAGCTGTTTTATTAAATGTTTTCACACTAAAACGGCTATAATATCTTCTCTAATCATCCCCAACGTTCAGAAGTGATCCAAGGTGTATTTAAGCAAGCTTAGAAGCCATTGATCAAAAACAAGAAACATCAAGCAACTAGAATCAAGAGAGAATCAAAGAGAAAGCATCAAACCTCAAGTTTGAGCATTTCAAGCCTATTTTCATTCAATATTCATTTTGCTTTCAAGAACACTTTTTGTGCTCAATTGTATTCATCTTTGAGTGTTCTTTTCTTTGTTCTAGAATTGTGCAAACATCTTACCTTGTGAGGTTTTCTTGTAAGTTTGCAAATTTGTAATCTTCTCTTTGGGAAAAAGAGTGTTCTCAAGAGTTGGGGTATACTCTTGAGGGAATTGTAAGGTTATCTCTTTGGCCTCAAAAGAAAGAACAAATTAGTGAATTTGTTGGAAAATCCTTAGTGTGGATAGCTAAGGTAGTGGACGTAGACTTTATTTGAGAAAGTCGAACCACTGTAAATCACTGTGCAATTACTTTCAATTTTCTGCAAAAGCTTCCACAAAAATTTTAATTGCCAATTCACCCCCCTCTTGGCCGATTTCGTCAATCGATTAACTCAACATATATGCTTAAGTTCTTCAAACTTTCCTTGGTACTCGTCAATAGAACATTTTTGCAACAATTTACTAAATTTCTCCATAATTTTCAGAAAAGTTCTATTGTTAAATATATGACATATATCAGCTTCAAATTCATGCCATAAGACCCGATGTTTTTGCAAAATGTAGCCATCAAACCAAGTTTCAGCCTTGCCTCCCAAATACATTGCAGCCATCGCCACTCGTTCTTCAGCAGTAACTCCATAAAAATGAAATAATTTGATGCACTTTTGGATCCATCCCTTTAGATTTGTCCCTTCAAATATAGGCAATTCTATTCGAGGTCTTGGTGTCACTGATCCGAGACTCCCAAATGACCCCCGTCGTTCATCAACAAGGGCTCCTTGTGATATCTTTGATCCATTGCAGTCACCCAACTACAAATATGCTTTCGGCTTCTGAGGTAGTTCATCTGGTTTGGACTTTAGAATTCTAGATTCCTCCGGTTGGTAAGTAAAGCCTGATTTTTCATTGATTATTGTCACATCCGTCGGTTGCTTACCATTGATTTTTGAAGGTTCAGGAGTCTTCAACTGCTGACTGTCCGGGCTTTTTGGTTCATGCCCGTCATTCTTTCTAATCAGTATACCCAAAATTTGTTCGAGATAAACTTGATTTGTATTCATCTGGACTTCTAATGAGCTGATTCGATTGTCTTGCCCCTCTCACCACTTCGGTGGGTTAGTGCCGTCTGCCGCGTTCTTCACCAAAAGTGTCAAATCCTCGATTTGTTTCTGTAGTGCAAAAAGTTCTGGATTTTGTGTCATTGTGTGGTTTTTCTTTGGCGTAACAGATATCGAAAGCCAGGAATAGAGGCTCTGAATACCAAATTGTTATAGCTCAAGTAGAAAAGAGAATTATCGAGAAGAAAGGGATTCAGAGAAATTGAGATTTCATTCATTTCATGCCCCTCTTTTCTTAGTACAATGTATTATTCATTCACAATGTACCAAACAAGGAATGACAGTTGACAGTCCTTTCTAACGGTTGCAATCTTTGGTGCAGGTGTCAAGGAATTTTCCACTCTGTTGGGCTACTGCTTGTATCGAACCAAAACTTATCTCATCTGTCTCCATTTCATCAGCAGGTAAAATCTCATCTTTTCCAATCCCTAATTCATTCCCCGAATTCCCCAATTCATTCTCTTCGTGGTTTTCTCCTTCTTCTCGCCCAACCATAACAGGTAATGGCAATCTTCTATAAACTGTCAACATTTTAGAAATAATATGGTAGAACTTTCCGATGGCACAAAACTGGTGCCATAGCCAATTTGATATATAAAAGAGAAGAACTAACATATATAATAGTAAAAAAAAAATATATGTTAGTGTTGAAACTTGTGGTAAAATATATATAATCCCTTAAAGATAACAAGCAGATTTTCATCTAAATAGGCAACGTCATCTTCTCTGCATTCTGCCTTTAGCTTCTCTAGGTTACTTCCCAGTAAACTCAATATTGACATTTTTTTTTATGAGCGTGGAGTTGAAATTAATGTCAAGTACCCACAAGTTTGAATGATCATTTTGAATTGTTATCCCCTATTACACTACAAAAGAGAAAACTAATATGTTGTATGCAAACCATACCCAACATAGAATCCAAGTAACATAGAAGATAACAATTCTAGTCATAAAACAACCTGAATTAATTACTGGAACTCTTCATTTTTTTCTAAATGATCTATATTTAGAGAATAAGCTTCGATATAAGTAAAAGCTAATAAAAAAAAGGAGCATATGTTGGACTTATATCTTATGCAACACTCAAAGTCTCAACACAGTGTTCAAGTAACGTGTAGAAAAAAATTCTGAATTCTGATCATAAGACGGTCTACATTACTGTATTCTTTACTTTTATTTTTGAAATCATCCATATTGAACACTTATAACCACACGTATTGGAAAATAGCAACTATGGTGCCAAGGTAGATCGATGTGCTACATGAAAAGAATTTATAGCGATTTACCAGTTCACACAGTAACTTATAGTTGTATAAGAAAACTAGTAGTAGCCGACCTTGACTCCAAAATCCAAATCATAACACAAACCGCTAGAAATGTATTGAACCAAACAAATAATGAAATGATCTCAAACACAGAGAACGGCGCTCAGTACATCCTGTGAACATTTTTTATGCATCATACTAATATTTGAAAAAAAGGAAATGATGATCATCATCGAACTACAACAAATCAACCAACGAACTAACGGAAACTCCAAATAACAAGTAAAACAGATTTCAGAAGCTTAAACTTCAATCAACAAATGGAAAAACAGATAAAACATTTCTTGTGTAGAAAATCAAGAGAGAGAGAGAGAGAGAGAGAGAGAGAGAGAGAAAGAGATGATACAAAAGAAATTACCAGTAAACTAAAGCTGAAAGGCTCTTCGATCTCTCCGGCCATTTGCAACGAAAATCAAGCTCGAAACAGAAAATACTTCAAAAATAAAGATTCAGCGCCGACATACTTAACTCTTATCAAACAAATCACATCAATCAAATTCACATTTCATCTTAAAAAAACGTCAACAGTAACTAACGAATCTTAACAGAAACGTGCTTTGTGAGTATCACCGCAGTTCAAAAAAAAATTCCAAAACCAAAGCTCCAAGATGTTCTTTCGCTTTTGCTTTTCAGAAAATTAAAATAATAAAATAGCTTGTTCTGCACAGTGTAAGTGTAAAATAGATTGGGAACGTAACGAGTAATTAGATCGATCAAAATCATTGTTTATGTTCATTTTAAAAAAATAGTTTATTCATGTGGGGGGAGTTTGCTCGTCTTTCTCGTCTTGATCGCATTAGATCACCGCAGTTTACGATCGACTGCTCTGATTTGAAATCCGAGAGGACAAATGGTCTGATTTAGGCGAACAGGGTTTTTTAAATGGATTGATGCGCAGAGGAATAACCCACGTGTCGGCTTCCCTAGTCTGTTTGAGTGTTGATTTGTTTACTGGTTAATCAATTGTGATTGGATTTAGCATTCTATATTAAATTTTGAATTAATATGTTTGTATTGTTAAATTTTAGTTTTATCTTTAATTATATCATTAAAACATTAATTTAAAAACAATGCGATGATATAGACAATAATATTATTTTGAAAGGTAATATAGACAACAATATTGTAAATATAAAAATGTAATCAAAACGATATCGTTTTTTATCATATGGATGCTCAAAACAAAGTTATTTGAAGGAATATATAAATCCTTTTCTGTATCGTTTTGTATATGTACTTTAAAATATTTTAATTTTAAGTATTGAACGATCAAATGTCGTATG